ATGCATTATCAGGGGATGCCTTATTTTGGGGGAAACAGGATAGATAGATAGATAGATAGATAGATAGATAGATAGATAGATAGATGATAGATAGATAGATGATATAGATAGATGATATAAAAGATAGATAGACGATAGATAGATAGATAGATAAATAGATAGATAGATAGATAGATTAGATAGATAGATAGATAGATAGATAGATAGATAGATAGATAGATAGGATCGGATAGATACTATGTTTCCCCAAAAATAAGACCCTGTCTTATATTTTTTTGAACCCTGAAATAAGCACTTGGCCTTATTGACATGCACTCAAAAGCCTGATGGGCTTATTATCAGGGGATGCCTTATTTTGGGGGAAACAGGGTAGATGATAGATAGATAGATAGATAGATAGATAGATAGATAGATAGATAGATAGCTATAGATAATGATATAGATAGATGATATAGAAGATAGAGAGACAGACAGACAAACAGATATTCTAGATACCGTATTTCCCCAAAAATAAGACCCTGTCTTATATTTTTTTCAACCCTGAAATAAGTACTTGACCTTATTGCCATGCACTGGGCTTATTATCAGGGGATGCCTTATTTTGGGGAAAACAGGGTAGATGATAGATAGATAGATAGATAGATAGATAGATAGATAGATAGATAGATAGATAGATAGATAAGAGATAATGATATAGATAGATGATATAGAAGATAGACAGACAGACAGACAGACAGACAGACAGATAGATAGGATAGATACCATTTTCCCCAAAAAATAAGACCCTGTCTTATATTTTTTTTCAACCCTGAAATAAGCACTTGGCCTTATTGCCATGCGCTCAAAAGCCCAATTGGGCTTATTATCAGGGGAGGTCTTATTTTGGGGGGGAAACAGGGTAGTTTACTCATCCCTTCTTTTATTACACACATCCTGCACAGTTGCATAGTTGTAGGTAGTTAAGTGTACACATCCTGACATATTCTAAGCAGTTGTGGAAATGTGTAGAATGCAGACACTTCATAGCCTCGAAGTCTATAGGTGGCAATCATACATTTCTTACTGATGTCTGCAGAGATTATTCAGGTCACAGTTGTCCCAAAGGTGTTTTTTCAAAAGGCGACTGGACTTTGTTTTCCTTTGAAGATGTTTTGCTTCTCATCCCGGAAGCTTCTTCAGCTCTGACTGGGTGGTGGTGGGGAATGGAAGGATTTATACTTCTTGAAGACAGCTGGTCATTTGCATCCTTTTAGGGAATCGTTGAGGCCACTTGGAGGTTCATTTATGTCCTCAGGGTGCTTTTTTCAAGTGGCAACTGGACTTAATTATTTTTCCTTGAAGACATTTCTCTTCTCATGCCAGAAGCTTCTTCAGCTCTGACTGGATGGCGGGGAATGGAAGGGTTGATACTCCTTGCAGACAGCTGGTTATTTGCATCCTTTTAGAGGGCTGTTGAGGCCACTTGGAGGTTTTATCTGTGTCCTCAGGGTCACCTGAGTGGTGCAAATGGGCGTGGAGCCTTCTTGGAGCTGTTGAAAGGACTGTGTTGTAGATTGAAGACAGATGATGTCCTATCCCTCTCCCCTCTGTTGAGAGAGGGCTCTTGAATCTTAATGTAAATGTAACATAATGTAGGATTCTCCAAGTGGCCTCAACGGCTCTCAGAAAGAGGGATAAATGACCAGATAACTGCAAGGAATAGAAATCCTTCCATCCTCCGCCATTCAGTCAGAACCGAAGAAGCTCTTTGGATGAGAAGTGAAATGTCTTCAAGGAAAACCAAGAAAGTCCAGTTGCCTTTTGAAAAAAAGCACCTTTGGGATTGATTTCTGATCTGAAGAAGCAAATATCAGCCCAATTTTACATTTAAACTAAGCCTCTTGCCCAGGACTTCAATTGGTGCCAGGTTAAAACTGGGTTTAGTCTAATGCTTCCTAATCTGGACATATACAACACATATACAGCACACAAAGAGCATTTGTAATGACGTCCAGGCGGGTGGGCGGAGCCTCCCACCAGTGCCACTACCAGTTTGCCCAAACTGGGGTGAACCAGTAACAACCCACCACTGATCTAAACATTTTTTTAGCATGAAGATTCTTTGAGGTGGCCATTCGTTGGTTTTGCAAGTCCAATCTTATGCTTAAACAAGGTATAGTATTACTGTGAGATATCTTTACTCAAGAATGTAAATTTGAGCAGAAGAAGCCATACTGAAGAATCATACCTTCACAACGGATTTGTACCTTCAGCTATAAGTCTGAAAACCTAAAGATGGCTTCATACTGTTGAGGGAAATAAAACTCTATGGTTGGGTTCAAGGAGTCATCGGAAGTCAAACTTTACTTTCCTTATCCTATTTTGTCAAGAAAATGTATTTGAAAGACTCCACCGATTTCATGCGTTGCAGAGAACAGAACTTAGAGTGATCTATTAACAGAGCTGAGATGCCGTTACGTAGTTAAGGAAAGCCAGGGAAGATGATTTATGGATTAGATTCCTAACTTAACCATTCTCGACCTGTCTTTTAACTAAGAACATCTCAGTCTCGCTCAAATTAATCTGCTTTTCCTCAGGCATTCTTGACAAACTCTTTTCGGTTTCAAAGGATTTCCATTCTTTGTTGTGGCCTGCCAGGGGAGCTGGCAGCAGATTCGGACAGTGAGGTGGTTGGGGAGGAACATGGGCCAGTCCTGGAATTTGGGGAAGGCTATGATGAGGGCTCTGCATCAGAGGCAGAGAGAGGGCCAGGGCCGTCTGACAGTTGTCAGCTGCCTTCGGAGTCAGACATCAGTGAGGCAGACAAACAGCTGGAGCCTGTTCCCAGTGTGCGCATAAGCAGAGCTGCCTGGAGAAGGGAACAGCTAAGGAACAAGGGTCGACTCAGGAGTAAAGCCACAGATGGACAGTGAATGGCCCATCCCAGGGGGAATAAAAGAGGAGTGAAAGGGGAGTGGAGTTTGCAGGAGACAATTAGTTCGCTTAATTGGTTCGTGACTCCTTGCCAAGTTTTGAAGATATCGGCCTGCCAGCTCTCCAAGCCAGATAAGGTCTGTGACTGCAAATTCTCCCTTGAAAGACTTTGCTGGGAGGTGAATGAGAGGAATTCACTGTTCGTTTAATAAAAGGGTTTTGTCGGCACCAGGATTCTGCTTCGTGCTTTTTGGGGAACCCTTAAAGTAGAAGGTTCTCCTGCTAAGACTGAAGAAGTCTTCTTACCTTGTATACTAATTTCTCAAAATTGTGCCTAAGAGCTGCTGTTCCAAAAATGAGTTATTATTTTTTTTCAGTGTTATTTTTTCCAAAAATAAAGACATTATCTATGGCCTTCCTTGTCTATGCCCAAATGGAGAAGAGCTTTCCATTTTGGCAATGGAAAATTTGTGTTCGATCTGATTTATGCGGAAAGTTTTACCATCCAGTCAAAAGTCATTGTGCAATGCCAAGAATGATCTGTTGGCAAAAGGTAACCCTAATATATATAAAATGTTGACAATCTACGTGTACATCCCAGGTGGCTTGGACAGAATGGTAGATCGCTTTGATGGCATTATTAGACTTTTCTTTTTAATTAAATGTTTCACCAGAGATAATATTTTCAGCCCCAGGAATAAACAAATAGCTTCAAGGACACTGATGTAAGCGTAACGTTCAAATAATGCAAAAGTTATATTTTCTGGATCGATTTATGATATGTTATCAAGTCAGTGTCAACTCTTAAGTGACCACATAGATAGATTTATTCAGGACAATTTAATCCCAGCTTGTTTCTTCAAATTTCCTATTGCCGCTATAATTGAACCCATCTATCTTGCTCTATCTGGTTGTCTTCTACATTTTTTTCCCCCAGCATTATGGAGTTTAATGGATGTTAGGCCTTCACATAATCTGTCAAAATTTTGATAATTTGAGCCTGGTCATTTGTTCCTCAAGTTAGAATTGTGGGCTATTTTGCTCTAAGTCGCACGTGTTACTTTTCTTGGGGATCCATGGTATAATCAAGAGTTCTCTCCAACACCAAAGTTCAAAGCCACCGATATTCTTTCTATGCAGGTTCTTCAAAATCCATACAATAGTTTAGCTATCGAAAAAGAGCAATGTAAAACAAACACGAGCTCCAAATTCACTGGCCAAGTAGATCATTTAGTAAATTTTCAAAGCATTTTCTAAGGCAAATGCTAATGAACTCAGATTAACAGAGTTGGAAGGGACCTTCTAGGTCATCTAGTCCAACCCCCCACCCAAGCAGGAGACCTTACACCATTTCTGAAAGAGGGCAGCCCAGTCTCTTCTTGAAAGTCTCAAGTGATGAAGCTCCCACAACTTCTGAAGGCAACTTCTGTTCCATGAGTTGATTGTTCTCACTGTTAGAAAAATTCCTCCTTATTTCCAGGTTGAATCTCTCCTTGTTCAGTTTCCATCCATGATTCCTTGTCTCTGTTTCTCTCTATCTGTATCAATTTTGCCAGTTAGATTGAAACTTCATCTAAAGTCTCCATCCCTTCAGAGAACTTAATTTCTAATAATAAACAGCTGCAGTGTTTGTTCAATTTATATTTGGGGGTGCCTGTATTTTTCTGGTCTTCCGTACTTCATGTACAAGGGACACAGTGGCTCAGTGGCTAAGATGCTGAGCTTGTCAATTGAAAGGTGGGCAGTTCAGCGGTTCGAATCCCTAGTGCCGCATAACGGAGTGAGCTCCCGTGACTTGTCCCAGCTTCTGCCAACCTAGCAGTTCTAAAACAGGTAAAAAATGCAAGTAGAGAAATAGGGGCCACCTTTGGTGGGAAGGGAACAGCGTTCTGTGCGCCTTTGGCGTTGAGTCATGTCCGTCACATGACCACGGAGACGTCTCTGGACAGCGCTGGCTCTTCGGCTTTGAAACGGAGATGAGCACCGCCCCCTAGAGTCAGGAACGACTAGCACATATGTGCAAGGGGAACCTTTACCTTTTACCTTATACTTCACGTAAAAGAGAGACAAAACTTTGTTTTCAAAAGTCCTTGGGATCTTCCGGTGTTCCGTCGATAACATCCAGACCAGATTGCATTCCTCCTGTGGAAATGTGGTCATTGCATTATTATATTCCTCCTCTTCCGTTGTGTTTAAACGTGGTGCTTGTGAAAGCCAGCTAAGATTCCTTGATGTTCTTTCCACATCAGATTCTCATTAAGGAAACAGTCAGATGCTCTCAGCTTGAGATAAGCTCCCAGCCAAATGCGCCATTCGTTGCCTTCCTGGTGTGAGGAATTTAAATTCCCATAATCCCCTGTAGCATTTGAAGTCCAACCGTTCTTGCTGTGGTGTACTGAAAGCCCAATGAATCCTTCTGTATAAAAACAGCAGAATAACAGAACAATGGAATAAGAGAGTTGGAAGGGACCTTGGGAGGTCTTCTAGTCCAACCCCACTGCCCAAGCAGGAGATCCTAGACCAGGGGTGAAATCCAAAATTTTTCCCTGCCGGTTCTGTGGGCATGGCTTGGTGGGCATGGCAGGGGAAGGATACTGCAAAATCTCCATTCCCTTCCTTGCTGGAGGAAGGATATTGCAAAAATCTCCAGCCAGAGGTGGTATTTGCCGGTTCTCTGAACTACTCAAAATTTCCGCTACCGGTTCGTGAGAACCTGTTAGAACCTGCTAGATTTCACCCCTGTCCCTGCCCTAGACCATTCTGGTCAATCTGTTCTTAAAAACCTCCAGTGATGGAGGACTCTTACCTTCTGAAGGTGTTCCACTGATTCGTTATTCTCATTGATAGGAAACTTCTTGGTTTGTCTGTGTTCTCCGGGTCATCTGAGTAGTGCAGATGAGTGTGGAGCCTTCTTGGAACTTCTGAAAGGACTATGTTCCACAGGGAAGGGACGGCAGAAAACATCCTACAGAAAGCACAGCTCCACAAGCACGATCCTTTCAGCAGCATGCGCACAGCTGCCAGAAGGCAAGAGCAGCTAAAGCAAAAGGGACAACTCGGGAGTAAGGCCTGGAGATGATTGGCCCCTCCCATAAGGCTTAAAAGAGGAGCAAAGGCACGTGGGCTCTCTGCAGGAAAGCAACGTTGCTAACTCTTGTTTCCAGTCGGCATCTCTTGTTTGTTTCTGAACTTCGTGGGGCTTTGCCAAGTAAGGCCTTTGGCAGGGTGTCAAAGAAGATAACCAGTTTTGTTTAATCTCCGCATAATTCCCTGAACAGCTGAAGGGATTTGCTTAACAAATCCTGGCAAAAGAAAAAAAGGTTGTAAAATGGAGCACAATTCCCGGAACGACTGCCTCGCTTAGCAACAGAAATTCTGGGGCTCAACTGCCGTCATAAATTGAGAACTACATGACCCAAACAATTGTGGGGGTTTTTTCCCCCCCACAGAATTACAAATGATTTTAGCACAGCTAAAGTTAAGAATGAACATAACTAAGTTATATATTCAAATTATGACGGTCGGCTGATGTAGCAGTGCCTTTCCTTCCCTTCCTTCCCCCCCCCTCTTTTCCTTGTAAGGCCTGAATCTGTTCACATTTTCTTTCTGCAGTTTGGCTTTTATGGATCATCCTATCTGAACACTCATTATTGACACTAGCAATCAGATTTTAAGTGCAGCTAAGTACACCATCTGGCTGGCTTGTCTTGTCTCCTCCTTTGTAGGCATCTCTGTGAAAATAGAGCTAATCTAGGAGGGGTCTACAGCTCATTATGGCTGCACCCAGTTTGCATAGCAATCAGCTAAATATGCATTTCCCTCCTGAACCTTGATTTTTCAGTGTTTAACAACTTGTGAAAAATTGCATCAGATTAAAAGCTGGGAGCACACATTTCCCCTCCTCCTTTGAGAGGAGGTAGAGTCATCCATGCACAGACAGACAGACAGACACACACACACAGAGAGAGATACACATTTTTCACTTAAGAGTTGCAGGCATTAGTAGAGTTGCTTTCGATCAGTGTGCATGTGTGTGTTTTTTTTTTAAAAAAAGAAGATAGCTTACACAATTCAGACATCACACAAGGTGATTGAGGACAATGCAAGACCCCACCCCCCGGTGTCCATTCCCCAATCCCCCAAAGCAATTTGGAAACAATTGGTGGTGGACCTCTCGCCTGCTGACCTAAAAACACGGAGAGCTAAATTCATGGCCCCACACCAAGCCCCACGGGCCCTTCAGCATTAACCTCCCCAGATCCACCTACCGCAAAGAGAAATCGGTGGTCCAGATTTGTGCCTCGTTTTGGACTGTATTTATTTGCTGAGGAAGGGATGATGGGAGCGAGGGGGGGAGGAAGGGAGGATGGGAGGGAGGGAGGAAGGGAGGGAGGGAGAATGGGAGCGAGGGAGGATGGGAAGGAGGGAGGGATGATGGGAGCGAGGGGGGAGGGACGGAGGGAGTATGGGAGGGAGGAAGGAAGGATGGGAGGGAGGAAGGAAGGATGGGAGGGAGGGAGGGAGAGAGAGGGAGGATGGGAGGGAGAGAGAGGGAAAAAGAGGAAGGATGGGAGGGAGGATCTCTTCCCTTTTTAAAATATGTAAATTTTAATCTGTTTTTAAATTATTGGGGTATTTTAATTTGTCTGGGCCAAAAAGTTTAATTTGATTTTATCGGGTTTTTAAATTTTGTGTATTTATGTATTTTATTGTTGGCTGTTCACCGCCCTGAGTCCTTCGGGAGTAGGGCGGTATACAAATCAAATAAAATGAAAATGAAATGAAATGAGGATGGGAGGATGGGAACAAGGGAGAGAGAGAGGGAGGATGGGAGGGAGGGAGGATGGAAGCAAGAGAGGATGGGATGGAGGGAGGGCGAGATGATGGGAGGGAGGATGGGAGGGAAAGAGGAAGGGAGGGAGGATGGGAGCAAGGATGGGAATGAGGGAGGATGGGAGGGAGGGAGGATGGGAGGGAGGGAGGATGGGATGAAGGGAGTGAGGGAGGAAATGTGAGGGAGGAAGGGAAGAAAGGGGAATGGAAAGGAAAAGGAAAATGGGAAGCGAGGGGAAGGAAAGGGAAGGGGAGGGGAGGGAAGGGTAGTTACTAGTAGCTTGTGTTATTTTTGTATTTAAATGCAAGTTGCAGGTCATTGGGAACATTCTGGAATACATCCTTAAGCATACTTACAGGGAAAAATAATGAGATACAGATGCAGCAACATCAACAAAACAAGAATGTATTCTAGGATGTGCAAGAACAACGGCAGTAAAGAATTGGGAAAAAAGTGTCCCTAATTCTTTTGAAAAGGAGAATAAAATGAAGAGAAGCTTCTCAACCCCTGTGCTCAGAGGCCAGAAGATAGCTGTGTTGTCTTCTTTTTTCAAACCTCACAAGCTTCACTTCTTCATTTGGCAGCCCTATCTTGTCTCTTCAGCCATTTTGGAATTAACCTTAATCATGAGGAGACCCTTGGCTGTAGATCTATTCTACAAGGAGACACAATTGAATGTCAGCCTTGCAGAAAATGTGGGCTCATTTAAGGCTACAAGGAGGAGATGAAGCTCATATTTCTTGTACAGGAGAAAAGAGGTGCCAGGAAATTGCCACACGGGGGAAATTGGCTGGATACTGATTAGAGGAATTCTTGGTTTCTTTTCTAGATCAGTCAATATAGATACTCAAGAATAACTGCTCAGAAAGAGTGAGTCACTTCAAACACAGCGCCCTCACTTTTAAGTGGCTTTTTTAACTCTTGAAGTACGTTTCCTAATTCTGCACAGAAGATAGAGAGTAACTTCAGCTTCTATGCTTGCTTGAAATTATTCTACTCTTCCTGTAATCCCTTAATTCGGAGTAGTATTGGGGCAACTGAATGGAGCTGAGCATTTACTAGCCGGATGCCCTTCCTGACACCTACGCAAAGTTCACAGTAGTTTCTCCCCCCTCCCCTACTATCTGTTCGCCAAAGAACCTAAGGGCAGGACAAGAAGTAATGGATGGAAACTTTTCAAAGAGAGATCCAACTAAGGAGAAATTTCCTGACAATGAGAGCAATTAATCAGTGGAACAACTTTCCTTTGGAAGTTATGATTCTCCATCATTGGATCTTTTCAAGAGACTGGACTGCCCTTTGTCCACAATGGTATAGGGCAGGGGTATCAAACTCAAGGCCCGAAGGCCAGATCTGGCTTGCAGGGTACTTAGATCTGGCACAAGAGACCACTCTGGAAACAGTGAAGGACCTGCTCGTGGTGCCCCTGAGCTTCGGAGTCCATTTTTGCTGGCAGAGCACTCGGTCCACCATAGTGTTGTGGCCCGTCAGTGGCCTGTGCAGCTAGTAGCTGATTCCGACAGTGAGGAGGCTGGTGTGGTGCTGCGCCAGCTGGCACTCGAGTCGGACAGTGAGGAGGCTGGAGAAGATGTGGTGCCAGAGGCGGGGATTCAGCCAGGGCCTTCAGAACCTCCAGAAGCTCCCATAAGTGAAGAGGAAGAAGAGGAGGAGCCTCTTCTCGATGCACGGGCGCGCAGTGCTGCCAAAAGGCAGGAGTGGCTCCTCAGGAGGAGATCTCCTTGAGAGTAAGGCTTGGGGCTAATTGGCCACTCCCTTAGCCTATTTAAGGAGGAACGCCGACTGAAGCAATTTGCAGGGAACAACTTCGTTCACTCTCCTTTGCGTCTTGATCTTAGTTCTCTGCAAATTGCTTCTGGGCTTTCTGCCAACCCTAGTAAGATTACGATGATTTATTCTTTGGATTCTTGTAGGCTGTTAAGGAAGTTAATTAACAGCCTTTGTTTGAAAAAGACTGATTTAATTTAGTAAACTAAGGTTTGTACAGACTTTGTGTGTGCTGCGTTCTTTGGGGTCCGTAGCTGGGGCAGAAGACATAGGTGCCCCCAACATGAGTGATGTTGAACTGGCCACGCCCACCCCAGCCACATCCACCATGGCCCCCCCAAGGGTCAAACACAGCCTTGATGTGGCCCTCTTTTACTCTGACATGTCAATGTCATATACAATGTCCCCAATTTTCTTCGTTCCAAAAGTTTTTTGCGTTGTTTTCTGATATGAACTTCTTGTAGACATATAATTTCTAATTTTAGCTTCTCTAGTTTATTAACTATTTTCCTTCTTTTTATTGCCAAATTCAATCCATTTATATTCAAGGATATGTCAAAGTAAAAGAGGAGCAGTAGTTTATATTAAACAGACAATACAATCGAAACAAATATTTGAGGATGAGGAAGGAAGAGCATTGATGGTAGAAATTGTAATGAACTACCAAAAAATATTACTTGTGGGTATATACACTCCAGATGTGGCCCTCAATGAAATCGAGTTTGACACCCCTGGTATAGAGTCTTCTGCTCGAGCAAAGGGCTGGACTAGAGGACCTCCAAGGTCCCTTCTGACTCTTGTTATTCTGCATTCTGTAAAGGGTGTTTTGATGCAGGATAACCCCAATAGCAAGATGATGGGCTCTCCAGGGACCGCTGCATAAAATATCGAATCATTTCTGTACCAGATTCCCCAAAATCATGTTTTCCTAGCATTTGAAGGAGACCATGCTATGGGAGGATTTAGAGTTCTCAGCCGTGGAACTTAAAAACAAACCCGAAAAACTGAAAATGGCAGGCAGTTTATAAGCTCTCATTTATACCTATTTGGAGCAAAGCGAACGGACAGGTAGGTGAAGAGCAGGACTGTCATATTACGCTTCCCTCCGTTTGATGTATGAGTCTGTTTATTTGCAAACTGCCATTTTGAGTGAAAAGAGTAGCTGTTCGCCATAGAGGAAGGAGCTTTCTAATTCCTGGAAACGAAGCTTCATGATGAAACTCACAATGTTTCCGTTAAAATTAAAATAGTAAATCTCCCACAGCATGGAACTTTTGGCCGGGAAATATGAAAAATATGGAAAGCTCAGCCCCAAACAAGCAGACGGTTATTTTATTTTATTTTATTTTGTTTTGTTTTATTTTATTTTATTTTGTTTTGTTTTGTTTTGTTTTGTTTTATTTTATTTTATTTTATTTTATTTTATTTTATTTATTTTATTTTATTTTATTTCTTATCTTATCTTATCTTATCTTATCTTATCTTATCTTATCTTATCATCTTATCTTATCTTTACTTTACTTTACTTTACTTTACTTTTTATTTTACTTTTTATTTTATTTTGTTTTGTCAGAGAGGACAGAGAAAACACATCCTGTGATGTGGTGCCTTGTGTTGGAGGGAGAGATCTCAAACTGTTGCAAAGATCTATTTTTCTCCCTCCCCAGTGCTACACACACACACACAAACACACACACTGGGCATCTTGGCTAAGCTGATTGGCAAAATCATTCCTTGCAGGGGAGGAGGGGAAATCATTATTCCATTTGCATTTTTATGCAAAGGGGCTTAATTCTAGGACTTTTCAAAGCATTCAACAGCCCAGCCTAATTCTGGACTTTGAAAAGGACACAATACACAGAAGCCAAATATGGTAGGTGTATAGTTGTATTAAAAGGCTCTCTGTTTCAAATGGAATCATGTGCGTCTCTGATAAAAAGTAGGCAGAGAGGATATATTAATGAACCCAACACATTAGCTTAAGAAAATGTGTTTACAAAAACGGTGTGTGTAGTGGGGTGGAAGCATGAGAAATGTTTGTCTTCTGAAAATTTAATTCAGGATGGAGATACCAGATTTCAGTAAATGTTCAGCCACAGAACCATAAGAGGCGTATCCAAGCAGTTCCTCCTGATGTTCATAGGATTCCCACCAAGTTACCTTGACCTTAAAGTGGGGAAGTGGAGCATTGCTGACACACCGCAAAGAAGACATAACAAAGTGATGCCCCATAGTCACCCTCTGACACTGAAGATTTCAATGGATTATTGGGTTCTTCCCAGAGGTATGGAAAGAAAGAAGGGTCAAAGATGAAGGGTGAAAGGTGAAGGGTGAGGAGGAGGGTGAGGAGGAGGAGGAGGAGAAGGAGAAGGAGAAGGAGAAGGAGAAGGAGAAGGAGAAGGAGAAGAAGATGCTTCTCTGTTTCTGATGTTTAAGGAGGGACATTCTGAGCATTGCTTACAAACTTGACATTTCTTTAGAAGATCTGCAGTGGTTAGGAGGAGTTGTATGCATGGATGGATGGAAGGAGGCATGGGTAGGGAAGGAGAGAGAGAGAGAAAGAGAAAGATAGATGGATGATGTGATAGATGATAGATGATAGATAGATAGATAGATAGATAGATAGATAGATAGATAGATGATAGATAGATAGATAGATAGATAGATGAGAGAGAGAGAGAGAGAGACAGATAGACAAAAGACAGACAGACAGACAGATGACGGATGGATAGATAGACAGG